CTATCCCCCCTCCCCTCCCCTCCCCTCCCTTCTTCTCTCTCTACCCCATCTACTGTAATTCATTACTCTCCTTGTTTATTTTCCCATTCCCCTCACAACCTCTTATATGTAATTTTGTATAGCAATGAGGGTCTCCCTTCATTTCCATGCAATTTCCCTTTTCTCTCCCTTTCCCTCCCATCTTGAAATGCTCTATTTCAAATTATCATGGAGCTGATCAAATGTTTAGGATTTAAAAGGTCAAAATTCCAAAGAAATGAGAAGCTCACTAGGCAAGTCCATTTTGTGAACCTCTTTTCTCCTCGAGACACTAATGATTCTTAAGATGGTAGGGGCTGAGCAGGGATCAGGGGTGAGATCACTGAGAAGCCAGGCAGAGTAGATGCTATAGGCAAAGGAGCCAGAAGAAAAATAGGAGCGGGAGCCTGCCAAGACTTCTGAAGAGGTGAGGCCTAGGGAAAACAGCCTGCTACTTAATTTTCTAGCAAGACTAAAGAAAAGAGAGAAGCACAGATTACAAATAACAGGAGTAAAAATGTAGACCTCACTACGGAGCCTGTGAACTCAAAGAGTGACTAATGGAATATAAGAACAATTTTATAGCAATACTTTTGAAAATTTAGATAAAACTCCTAGAAAAACAAAACACCAAAACTGACTCAAGAAGAAAAGAAAATGTGAATAGTACTTTAGCTATTTAAGAAACTGAATCTAGGGCTAGGGCTGTAGCTCAGTGGCAGAGCACTTGCCTAGCATGTGTGAGGCACTGGGTTCAATCCTCAGCACCACATAAAAATAAACATCTACAACTACAAAAAAAAATTTTTAAAGAAAAAAAAAACTGAATCTATCATTGAAAATCTTTCCACAAAGGCATCTCTGGATCTACTTGGTTTCACTGATGAGTTTTTCCATTTAAGGAAGAACAAAATACCAATACTAAGAAAATTAATCTCAGAGAAGACAATCTATAATAAGTGAATTTGTCAAGTTTACCAGTAAACAAGGTTGATTTACAGCAAAATAAAATGTTAGAAAATAAAATTTGAAAAAATGATATGATAATAACTGCCCCCTCCCCAGTGAAGCTCAGATTTCATTTTTCAAAATAATCATCTGATACTGAATTTAAAACTTTAGAGTCATCATAAAAGATCTACACTTAAACGATTGGACTTCAGTCAACAAACACGAATACATGTGTGTCTTCCTTTAAGACATTAGAACAACTGCTCTGGCACTCAGCAACGAAGAAGTCCAATGTCCCAGGTGCCATGACACTTCCAGTATGTCTGCCTGAACTCTGATGGAAGAAAGGAAGCTAAGTTACACAGTTTCAAGGGGCACTGGTCCTATAAGGATATTTTCCTTGGGCCTTGTGGAGAACCTTCCAGAAATGTAAAACAGGGTAAGGACTGGAAGCAAAAAACCCTGGCTATTTTATTTTATAAAAAGTCCAAAGACTTTAACTCTTTCCTTCCACTACTGCATGACTGCCCCATTATGTGGAAACAATGCTTATAACAAGAATTATAAAGGGGTTATTAATGCCCTTAATATATAAGGAACATACAAATATTAATTCCAAAGGCCCTTAAGGCCCCCAAGTACAAATGGACCATGATCCTGACAGAAGTAACATGGGAAAAAATACCTAATACAAATATAAATGTCCAATAACCACGTAAAAAACATTTATCTAAGGTAGGTATCAAAATTAAAACGAGGTGTTTACTTTTGCCAAGCACTAGCAAAGATATTTTTTATAATCATTTTCCAAAACAATAGGATGGTAGCAGGAGTATATGAACAGATCTTCAAAATCTGTAGAAGCTGAAGATAAGGAAGAGACTTGAAAGGGCTGATTCTAACCTCAGTGCTAGGAAGATGCAAATGCCATGCGGTGGGTTAATGTGTTCCAACTGCCTCATGTCCAAATGAACTGAAACAGCTTTCGCTTAGAATGAGCCCTGCCTCCAGCTACAGCATATAGGAAGACTATGTCTTCCTTCATGCAGATGACCTGGTTTTTCTATTATGACTCAGAAATGACCTTAAGAGAGAGCTAAATTGACTGGCAAACTATATTAGAAAGAAGACTTTGAGTAGAACAGACTTCACATTCAGATTGACAAACTACTCCCAATATATCCCTCCATAACACACAAATACACACACATACTTGGACCCACTTATGCACACATAATGCAAGATAGTGTTGATAGACCTAACCTGATCTTTTCTCTTAAAATTGGGAGCCATCTCACCACAAAGCCATGAAAAGATAATTTTGGCTTTACTATAAATTACTGCAAATTCTGAACCTGCTTGGAATGCCTGCCCATGCCTTGAACTCACCCATGCCTGGCTCTCTGACCAGATAGCAGCCCTCTCTGAAACTTTAGTGACACCTCATAAATATTGGCCTTCCCTGG